CACCCAGTTGCAGTGCAAAGTGTGGTCTTAAATTCACTGCCAACCTCGCCTCCCAGGTCAAGTGATCCCTGCTCAGCCACGTAGCTGGGACAAGCCCCAATCCATGCTGGCTAATTTTCTAATTTTTCGGTAAGACAGGGTTCACCAATGTGAGCTGATTCAAATCTGACATCAGTTTGATACACCTGCCTCAGTCCAAAGTACTTGGGAATAACAGGCGGAGCCACGGTGTCCCATCTCCTGTTACTGAAATCTTTCAACAATATCTATTAAAGATCTCTTATGGGTTATGTATTACCATATCAGTGACATGAGAGATCCCAAAGAACAGGGACTTTTTCTGGCCTACAGAGGATCCATCACATAAGACCACTCACTGAATTTGGATTCTAGTGCTGGCTGTGTTATGTGTTGGCTAAGTGACCTTGGACAAGTCACCTAAGCTCTCAGAACTTTAGTTATCTCACCTATAGAATGAGGAGAATAATACTAGCCTCAAAGTGCTTTGGGGTTTTGTAATAAATAAGTGAGAACATTTGTTAAAAAAAAGTAAGGACTTACACAACTGTGTGCAAATATACACTGTTGTCAGTACTAAATCTTGGTTTATTCTAAGAAGTTCTTCTGATGGGCAGACATATCGCGATAAGTATTTTTTATGGATTCCAGAATGTTTCTTGAAGCTGGTTAGAAGCTGGAAAGAAGAAAGGGGGACTTTTTGAAGGCAGAGTCATTCATAATATCTCTTCCCAGTTCCCCAATGTTATGTCAGACTTCTGGGCAGATTGGGGTATTATAATTGTATTAGTCAGGATTCTGCAGAGAAACAGAACCAATAGGAGGTAGATATAGATAAAGATAAAGATGCAGCTGTAGATATAGATAGGATACAGAGATTTATTATAAGAAATGGGCTCACATGATTAGGAGGTTGAGAAGTCCCATGATCTTGCCGTCTATAAGCTGGAGACCCAGGAAAGTGGGTGGTGCAATTCCAGTCCTACTCTGAAGGCCTGAGATCCAGGGAATCCCACGTTGTAAATCCCAGTCCAAGGGCAGGAGAAGACCTCCCCCAACTCAAGTAGCCAGGGTGGAAGCAAAAGGGGGCAAATTCTTCCTTCCTCCACCTTTTGTTCTTTTCAGGCTGGAAATGAATTGGATGGTGCCCACCCACATTAGAGAAAGCAGTCTACTTTACCAAGTCCACTGATCCCAATGTTGATCTCAGATGGAAACACCCTCACAGGCACACCCAGAACAATATTTATTTATTTTTGTTTTTTTGTTTTTTTTTTTTTTTGAGACGGAGTCATGCTCTGTCGCCCAGGCTGGAGTGCAGTGGCCGGATCTCAGCTCACTGCAAGCTCCGCCTCCCGGGTACACGCCATTCTCCT